TGGTGACAGCTGGGCAGACAGAGAGTGAGGAGGTTAGCCATGTGGTGTCTGGGGCAGATCATCCCACGTGGAGGGAATAGCGAGCTCAGAGGCTGTGAGACCAGAGGGTACAGAAGGGACCCAGTGTGGCCGGAGTGAGTGAGGGAGAGGACGCTGGGAGGGGAGGCGGGCAGTACCCTGCCGGTGTGCAGGGGAGCCTGGCAGGCTGCGGAGGGACTCTGGCCTTTACTCTGAAGTGGAGAGCCATGATAGAGTGTTTGGCAGAGAAGTGACATGATCTGACTTTCATCTTAAAGGATCACTCCAGCTACTGTGCTGGGAAATGACTAGATGGGGGTAAGGATACTGGAGAGGAACTGGATCCAAAACTCTGTGGCAAGGCAGTGAGCCCTGTGGCTCTAACTTTCTTTATACCTCAGGTGTTCTTCTGAGTCAGCCTCTCTTGTTTCCGTCTATCCTCTTTTCTAGCTAAGCAAGGACTTCCTGCCCTCCCCACTGTCCGTCTGCTCTCTGCTTTTTATCTTCTGCTGACTTCCCCTCCTGGATCCCATTATGTCTCCTTCAACTGTCAGCTTCCAGTCCCTTGCATCATATCATAAAGCACGTAATGTCTGGTTGGTTCCACTTTTAGTGTTAATGCTGTTTCATCAAGAGCCCCTTTGGCTACCTTGTTTTGTTGAGCCTCTATAGCATATGCAAATAAGAATTAGTCATTTGCTTATTGAATATAACACTTAATTTTCTGCTTTCTGATACTCCATCACCAGGCAAAGCCCTTTACAGAGGTAAGCTTTGTATGACTCTTGAAAAACCCAGCACCTTAAGTTGCTTTAAACAAAGAGGGAAATGAAAAAATCTGTCTTATATCTTAAATTCCAGCCTGCAGAATACACAGACACACAAACTTTTATAGATTGTAAAAAAAAAAAAAAATGCATGAATCATTTTTTGTATAAAACCATTTTCCTCTGTAATTTCTCAGTGCTACTTTTTCTCTGATATTAAAAAAATAAAGCCTAACAGACTTCTGATAAAGTTGATACAGGGTCACAAAATACCTTCCCCCAAATTTTCAGAAGTTAATAATAAAAAGTAAGAAAATAGCATGCCATCAACCCTGAAACCAAGAAAAGATTCCAACTTCATATCGTAAGCTTTGAGAAGTGCCATACAGAAAAAGAAAAATGGGACCAAATTGAAAGAAGGTGCTGAAAAAAAACATTTCCCAAAGAGAAGAATGGAATATAGACAAGCACAAGGAAGGAATTCTGAAAAGTCTCTTTACTTTTGAAAGTGCTGGCACTAAGTAAAAAGGTGTACCGGGGGGAGGCTTGGAAAGAGCCACACCCCCACTGGGGACCGGTTTTTCCATCAGGAAGACTTTTCTCCCCCAGGCAAGAAGAGTCAAGAAAGGTTTACCATTTTTTCCTGCCACTGATATAACAATAAGTGGGCAAGGAATAAGGGAAGCATCTGCTGGATTAATTATTACAGCTGCACCAAGAAGAAGCTCCATAAAATATATATATATATATATATGTATGTATGTATGTATCTGTCCTTAACAAAGGCAAAAGACTACAATACATCCCAGACTCAGCGAAGCAAACCTCTGGTGTATTTATTTCACTCGGGTTAAGAAAGGAACTCAGTGGCAGCTACCCAAACCCTGGCTCTCTTTCCATTCCGCTTGGGCAGCTGAACGGCTGGATAGGGCATATAAGCCATGCCGTCCAGTCCGTATCATTGGTGGAAGAATAAAGCAGTTCCCAATCCAACACTATCAGGGGACAAACGGTGGGCTGAGAAAGACTGGCTCACATTCCTTAAAGAGTTTCAGGTCACACTGACATGTGACTGAGGCAGAAAACCTGCACATATAAAAAATTAGCAGAGCCTGCTAAGAAAAAGAGAATAGACTTTCAGACAGTCATAACAACTAATGCTTACTGAACACCGGCTACCCACCAGGCACTATTTTAAGGGTTTTGTGTATATTAACTCCTTTAGTCTTCACAGCAACACTACAAGATAAGCACCATTATCGTCCCTATTTTGCAGGTAAGAAAACTAAGGCACAGCGGGATTAAGAAGCTTGGCCAAGGGGGATGGAGGTATGGGTGAAATAGGTAAAAGGGGAACAAAATCAGGAAGAGAAGCTGCCCCAGATTTACCCAGCTGGTAAGAGTGGGGCCAGGGTTTGAACACAAGCAGCCTGAGTCCAAAACTTGTTCTCAATTACCCTGCTCTTGTTCCCCAAGAAACAGTATTTTAAGCAACTGCTGTGATTCTCAGGGAAATTGAAGAGAATACAAATTTACTGGCCATGAACTCTTTCTTGAAAACTGCTAGAGGGAGGAAAAACGAAGAAAAAGAAAGGCTACAATACATCCCAGACTCAGTGAAGCAAACCTCTGATGCACTTATTTCATCAGGAATCCAATGTGGAAGAGTACTTTAAAAGGTCCCAGGACAGGACTGCACTGTGAAAAAGAGCATAAGAATACAGGGCACATCAAAGAAAAAGATTTACTCGGTGTGCTGGACAATTGGAAAACTGCTGATCATTTGGTGCATCTGTTAGAGCATTTGGCAACAATTAGCAGTTGGTATATAGAAAATAAAGCAGGTTTTTAAAAGTCAGTTGTTAACTATAAGTAAAAACAAATTTATGTGACAAAGTACAGGAAGTATAGTCATGCTATACTCCCTGGCATGGAGATAAACCAAATGTCTATGTAAAATATATATACATATATAAATCACTTACAGATATTATAGGTAATATAACATGTAATCATGTAAACCCTATCGACAACATTTTTATGTAATTATTCTTGGGATGATAGAGGAGAGGTAAGGGTAGTGGTAAGAGCCAAATTACCAACTTGTGTAATTTGGATAGTGTCTAAAATGATCAGCCAGAAATGGCAGCATATGTGCATCATTTGTAGATACCAGAAGAAGCAGTTAAGGTAGTTTGTGTGGAATGAGACTGCTGGGCAGGGTTAGGAGGGCACGAGGAAGGGCTGCTGTCTGTTTTTATAAGTATTTTGGTGCTGTTTGTTTTCCTCAGTTATGCAGAACTTAAGCCAACAGCACCAATGAAATTTTAATCAAAAAATAAAAACCCTACTCTTAAAGTATTTCCTTATAAAATGCTTTTTTTTTCAAATTGCTAAGCATCTAACCACAAATACTTTATTAAAAGCTTTCTAAAACACTTCATGAAAATCAAAGATTGATTTTCTGTATCGATGTGGCTCCAGGGAGTCTTAATTTCTGTCCTCTTTAAAAAAAGAGAAGCAACAAACAGGGTGAAACTTTAAAAATGTGTGCTGTTTAAGAAATTGAATCCCAGACTTCCACCCTCAAATTGTATTTTTCTGTTTTCCAAGATACTAAAGAAGGGGCCTGTATTTTAGCACTTGGTGGAGGCGTAACAAAGCCATCTGCACACCGGATTGATCTACAAGGAAGAGAGCCATTTTGACTAGAAAGGGTCCCTGTGCTGAGCCACATGCACTGATGAGCTATTTCCTTGCCTCACTTTCTTCATATATTCTGCTTATACATGAGCTCTGGGTTCCCATCACAAGTTGCTCATGTCTCATGTTTCCCTTACATATCCTGGCTTTCCTTGACCCATTAGGTCCTCTTTGGGGTCTTGATAACAGCCTTGTGTGTAGTTTGCAAACAGGCCTGTCTTTATTGTGCAGCAGGCTGAAGAAGGAGAACTTTGTAAGCACGCAGTGCCCATGTAGGAGCCTGCATGCAGACAGACCTGGAATGATGGAATAAAAGAGGCCCTGGGCATGCTTTTCTGAGAAACTGTTGGACACGGGTGGGGATTTAAGAAGAAATAAAAGACACCTGAGGGCGTGTGGAGACTCCATACTGTGGGTTTTGACTAGAGGTTGAAAATCTTGGTCCTGAGAGGCCAGAGACAAGGAGGGAGGTAATACCACCAACCCAAGAATTGGAATGGTTATTAAGTAACCGCAGTAACACATCAACTAGAGCATGATGGCAGTGTGTACAAGGAGTTTATTCAAGAAAACAGAGTGGTTTAAGGTCTTGGAGACTGCAGTAGCAGAAAGGAAAAGAAAGGGGTTTATATTAGAAATACTAAGGAAGAAAGAGGAAGCTTGGTGGTAGCAAGGATATGTAGGGAAGAGCAGTAATGGAGTGACAGTTACACAAAATGTCTTTCTACTTGGGTGATGGAGAAGTACAGGAACCTGGACAAAGGATCCTGGAAAAAATGTAGGTATCTCTGACTTCACCAGGCCTGGATAAAATGAGCATTGAGACATTTATATGTTCTCTAATTGATTTCTGAGCACTGAAAATTTTTTAACAAAGATTCATTTGATATTCCTAGATCTGTTTTACCTCTTCCCCAGGAATATATCTAACTTTGTGGGAGTTTATATAGCACCTGCGGGGAGGGACTGACAGGGTGTGTATAAGTCAGTTTGTAAGTCCAGTGTGACATTATACTAGTGGCCAAGGTATATATTCTATATAAAGCTCGGTTTCATAAGATAACTGTAGATGTGGATGGCTTCTGGGTCTGGCTCATTTTGCGTCCTTTAAACATTCTTAAAATACTTATCCAGAGATGTCTGTCTTTTGGTTTCTTCTTTTCATGACCATAAAGTTAAAACAGGACTCTGATTCAGTCAGCCCGCCCTCCAGCGTACAGTGATCCCCCAGACAGCTGGAACAGAAGGACGCATGTGACTCCTGGCGCCACCTCTTGATGGCAGGCAGAACGGACACACTTTGGCTCTTGATTTTGTTGGCACATCCAGGTTCCCCCTCTGGAATTTATAAGTAGAGGAGCTCCTACAATTTCAAAGTTATCTACTACTCGGTCAACCCGCAGTGTTTTCCTTTTTTTTTCTCTTCTATAAAGGTGTGGCGGGGCACCCTGGCCCGCATGCGGTACCGGAGGACCCAGGCAGCTCTGACAATCATCAGATACTACCGGCGCTACAAAGTGAAGTCCTACATCCATGAGGTGGCCAGGCGCTTCCACGGCATCAAGGCAATGAGAGACCGTGGGAAGCATGTGAAGTGGCCAACCCCACCTAAAGTTCTCCGGCATTTCGAGGAAACCCTACAGGCAATTTTTAATAGGTAAGAACTTGTTGATAAGCGCTACATCCATTCGTGGCAGCGACTTAATACATCAAGTCACAAATCTGAGACTGTGATAGTAGTGGCTGAGTTATTTGCTCTTATGACACTTTTACCTTATGTCTAGATTTGTAGGTTTGGGATTCAGAGGGCATCTGCTTACCTCTCAAAATAATGAGTCTGTCCATGTATTATTCCTGTAGCAGTTGACTGAAGTGTGTGCCCCAGCCCCCGGGTCAAGCCATAGTTAAGCTATTGGCATGCTGGCAAGAAATAACTATTTATTAAAATCACCACACGTAACTCAAACCAGAAAGTCCGTTAATCTTTCTAACCAGTGGGTCTCTTTCCTGCTGCACCTTAGAATCACCAGGAGTTTATGAAACGTACAAATGCTCAAGTCCCACCTCCAGAAAGCCCTGTTTAAGGGACTTGAGTAGGGCAGCCCAAGCAGAGGTCGTTTTTGAAATTCCCAGATGATTTTAAAGTGCAAGGAGAAAAACAGCTGTTTTAGAGAAAGCTATTTTTTTTTTACATAAATGAACAAATGCCCATGTAAAATTTGGTACCTTTCCAATTGATCTTCATTTTTTTATAAACTGCCCTGATTCTGAGTTTGTAGTTATTCATAGCTCCTTTCTCCTCACTTTTTGAGCTTATTTGTTACCAGTGTGTACCAGATATATTTAGCAGTGTCTTAGATACAGCCATCTAATCACATAACCTAAGCAAATGGTTCTCAGATGTGGTCCTTTGGCAGCATGGTATTCCACAAAGAACCCTATACAATAATTGGTATAATGAATGTAAAAGAACTAATTTATAATTCTGTGCCAAATCAGATTTTATCTTCCTTAGATGTTGCTCTGTATAATTGGTGGCAGCTATCAGAAGATAAGAATGCATAGCAGAAAAAATATTTAAGACACATCTCATTTGCTTTGTGTTTAAAGAAATGATACCTCATTTTTAAAAAATCGAACAATATAGAATTCTTGAAAGCAAAATAACTCACAGTTCTCAGATCTAGTACTATAAATTTTAGTTGTAAATCATGGCAGCCTTTTTCATGTACAGATTTTTTTTTGTAAATGGTATATCCTCTGTAACCGGCATTTTGACATAATTTAAAAAGCAAACTAAGCTATACATCAGTACAGGCTCATTGTCTTTTTAAAAAGTGAAATAATGTAAACATATGTAGGATATAAAGTTGAAATCCTCCCCACCTCCTCTCCTCTGTCCCATTTTATTTTTGCCCCTGAGATACCACTTATTAACAATTAGTTCATATCCTTCTAAGTCTGTGTCTGTGCATTTACAGACATACACACATGTAAGAGATGGCATGGAAGAGTAGCTAAGAACACAGACTCCGGAGCCTGTGTTCATATTCCAGCTCTGCCATTCTAACTAGCTGTGTAATCTTGGATAAATTAGATAATCCATTAGGTCCTCTTTGGGGTCTTGATAACAGCCTTGTGTGTAGTTTGCAAACAGGCCTGTCTTTATTGTGCAGCAGGCTGAAGAAGGAGAACTTTGTAAGCACGCAGTGCCCATGTAGGAGCCTGCATGCAGACAGACCTGGAATGATGGAATAAAAGAGGCCCTGGGCATGCTTTTCTGAGAAACTGTTGGACACGGGTGGGGATTTAAGAAGAAATAAAAGACACCTGAGGGCGTGTGGAGACTCCATACTGTGGGTTTTGACTAGAGGTTGAAAATCTTGGTCCTGAGAGGCCAGAGACAAGGAGGGAGGTAATACCACCAACCCAAGAATTGGAATGGTTATTAAGTAACCGCAGTAACACATCAACTAGAGCATGATGGCAGTGTGTACAAGGAGTTTATTCAAGAAAACAGAGTGGTTTAAGGTCTTGGAGACTGCAGTAGCAGAAAGGAAAAGAAAGGGGTTTATATTAGAAATACTAAGGAAGAAAGAGGAAGCTTGGTGGTAGCAAGGATATGTAGGGAAGAGCAGTAATGGAGTGACAGTTACACAAAATGTCTTTCTACTTGGGTGATGGAGAAGTACAGGAACCTGGACAAAGGATCCTGGAAAAAATGTAGGTATCTCTGACTTCACCAGGCCTGGATAAAATGAGCATTGAGACATTTATATGTTCTCTAATTGATTTCTGAGCACTGAAAATTTTTTAACAAAGATTCATTTGATATTCCTAGATCTGTTTTACCTCTTCCCCAGGAATATATCTAACTTTGTGGGAGTTTATATAGCACCTGCGGGGAGGGACTGACAGGGTGTGTATAAGTCAGTTTGTAAGTCCAGTGTGACATTATACTAGTGGCCAAGGTATATATTCTATATAAAGCTCGGTTTCATAAGATAACTGTAGATGTGGATGGCTTCTGGGTCTGGCTCATTTTGCGTCCTTTAAACATTCTTAAAATACTTATCCAGAGATGTCTGTCTTTTGGTTTCTTCTTTTCATGACCATAAAGTTAAAACAGGACTCTGATTCAGTCAGCCCGCCCTCCAGCGTACAGTGATCCCCCAGACAGCTGGAACAGAAGGACGCATGTGACTCCTGGCGCCACCTCTTGGTGGCAGGCAGAACGGACACACTTTGGCTCTTGATTTTGTTGGCACATCCAGGTTCCCCCTCTGGAATTTATAAGTAGAGGAGCTCCTACAATTTCAAAGTTATCTACTACTCGGTCAACCCGCAGTGTTTTCCTTTTTTTTTCTCTTCTATAAAGGTGTGGCGGGGCACCCTGGCCCGCATGCGGTACCGGAGGACCCAGGCAGCTCTGACAATCATCAGATACTACCGGCGCTACAAAGTGAAGTCCTACATCCATGAGGTGGCCAGGCGCTTCCACGGCATCAAGGCAATGAGAGACCGTGGGAAGCATGTGAAGTGGCCAACCCCACCTAAAGTTCTCCGGCATTTCGAGGAAACCCTACAGGCAATTTTTAATAGGTAAGAACTTGTTGATAAGCGCTACATCCATTCGTGGCAGCGACTTAATACATCAAGTCACAAATCTGAGACTGTGATAGTAGTGGCTGAGTTATTTGCTCTTATGACACTTTTACCTTATGTAGGTTTGGGATTCAGAGGGCATCTGCTTACCTCTCAAAATAATGAGTCTGTCCATGTATTATTCCTGTAGCAGTTGACTGAAGTGTGTGCCCCAGCCCCCGGGTCAAGCCATAGTTAAGCTATTGGCATGCTGGCAAGAAATAACTATTTATTAAAATCACCACACGTAACTCAAACCAGAAAGTCCGTTAATCTTTCTAACCAGTGGGTCTCTTTCCTGCTGCACCTTAGAATCACCAGGAGTTTATGAAACGTACAAATGCTCAAGTCCCACCTCCAGAAAGCCCTGTTTAAGGGACTTGAGTAGGGCAGCCCAAGCAGAGGTCGTTTTTGAAATTCCCAGATGATTTTAAAGTGCAAGGAGAAAAACAGCTGTTTTAGAGAAAGCTATTTTTTTTTTACATAAATGAACAAATGCCCATGTAAAATTTGGTACCTTTCCAATTGATCTTCATTTTTTTATAAACTGCCCTGATTCTGAGTTTGTAGTTATTCATAGCTCCTTTCTCCTCACTTTTTGAGCTTATTTGTTACCAGTGTATACCAGATATATTTAGCAGTGTCTTAGATACAGCCATCTAATCACATAACCTAAGCAAATGGTTCTCAGATGTGGTCCTTTGGCAGCATGGTATTCCACAAAGAACCCTATACAATAATTGGTATAATGAATGTAAAAGAACTAATTTATAATTCTGTGCCAAATCAGATTTTATCTTCCTTAGATGTTGCTCTGTATAATTGGTGGCAGCTATCAGAAGATAAGAATGCATAGCAGAAAAAATATTTAAGACACATCTCATTTGCTTTGTGTTTAAAGAAATGATACCTCATTTTTAAAAAATCGAACAATATAGAATTCTTGAAAGCAAAATAACTCACAGTTCTCAGATCTAGTACTATAAATTTTAGTTGTAAATCATGGCAGCCTTTTTCATGTACAGATTTTTTTTTGTAAATGGTATATCCTCTGTAACCGGCATTTTGACATAATTTAAAAAGCAAACTAAGCTATACATCAGTACAGGCTCATTGTCTTTTTAAAAAGTGAAATAATGTAAACATATGTAGGATATAAAGTTGAAATCCTCCCCACCTCCTCTCCTCTGTCCCATTTTATTTTTGCCCCTGAGATACCACTTATTAACAATTAGTTCATATCCTTCTAAGTCTGTGTCTGTGCATTTACAGACATACACACATGTAAGAGATGGCATGGAAGAGTAGCTAAGAACACAGACTCCGGAGCCTGTGTTCATATTCCAGCTCTGCCATTCTAACTAGCTGTGTAATCTTGGATAAATTAGATAAGCTCTCTGTACTGCAGTTTCCTTATCTGTAAATGGCCAAAATAACAGTACCTGATCATACTGTTGTTGAAAGGAGTATGCATAGATACATATAAAGCATTTCAGATAGTGTCTGACACATACAAAGCACTATGGAAAATATTTGTAACATACTGTGAGTGTATATGCATACCCAGTCATACTTGATTTGGGCTTTTTTTCCTGTCTTTTTTGGCGCAAGAAGGCTTATATGAATGGTTATATGACTGTACTTTAAAATATCTTGGAGGCCTGTCTAAGACGATAACAATAAATAAAGATCTGTGTAATATTTTTAGGGCTTCAAACAATCATCAGTTTTGATTATGTTGCCCTATAGCCTGTGTGGTCTTCTGTTTAGATTTTGAGGTTTTACTTATGGCCTAGAATTGATTAATATTATAAAATCCAGTTTATTCATTCAGCAAATATTTACTCAATGCCTGCTGTGTCGTGGGCATCAAACAAGGGGTGTGGGATCAAACAAGAAAGATGTGAAAGACAGTCCCAGCCTTCTGAAGGCTTATTGGCAATGAGCATTTTGAAAAGAATGCACTTGCATGTGTACACGCACACGCACACACTGAATCAATCTTAGCAGTTATGTTAATCTAGTCCAATGGCAAACCTTTTCTGTTAAGGGCTACCTTAAGTTGTCTTCTGTGAAAATAGTAAATGTTTTAGGCTTTGTGAGCTGCATTTGGTCTGTGTTACAGATTTTGCCTTGTTTTATTTTGGTTTTTGTTAAATATGTAAAGACTCTTCTTAGCTTATTAGAGGTACAAAACTGAGCCATGGGCTGGATTTGGCACAGGCTGTAGTTCACCAACTCCTGATCTAGTCACTATATCCTATTTAATTTATTCTTGAACTTTTTGATCAGTAGAATGCTAAGTGTGTTAAATAATTCCGCTGTGATTGTGAGGTTTTTGTTTTCTTTCCAGACTCTCAGTGTGTGTCCAGCTATAAAAAGCTCACTCCTGCTCCTCACAGTAATTCTTTTTATTCTGGGAAGGCTCGGAGGCTTCTTCATGCCCAGCTTTGTTACCCTTTTCATATTGTTGAGGCTGGTGATTTTTATGGCTGCAGCTGTTGTCACCAGCTACATATATTTATAGGTGACAGTTTGATGAGGATGAGAAGCCTGTGTGGCTCTCCCCATGGCATGCAGGCCAGGCCTCTGATTCCCTGGCATGCCTCTGTGCCGTGGGTCTCTGGAGTCAGTCAGATATGGACCTTGTCCTGGGCCACTGTGGGCAATGAGGAAGGGACAGCTGACCAGGCACGAGGCTGAAACAGACCGGCAGACAGAACAAAGACCTGTCCCCATCGAAAATGAAATTTGGAGCCCAAGAGCTAACTGGGGAGCGGTTCAGCAAGCCACTTAGGGTTGCAGGCTGTGCTTGTCCCCAGTGGCCTCGACTTTGACCAACAACTGCTCCCAGCCTGTCACTCTTCCAGCATCTTCCGGAATGATCTTAGGACACTCTGTCCTATTGGTATGTTGGTTGGCCATACAATGAAGAGAAGAGAATATCACTGTTTCGTTGAGCCTTTACTCAACAATAGCTCAACTTTGTTATTGTTTTTGCAACCTGCTCTCTCTGACCCTATCTCCGTAACACACGTCTCCTTTTCACCATGGTGGCCATTCCGTGTGCAGGGAACCGACACAGCTCCCACCCTAAAATCCTTCCCCTCCTCACCTCCAGGCCCTGCTGCCTCAGGCTTAGGAGCTCTCAGAGCTGTCTATGCCAAAGGCTTCCTCTCCTTCCACTGAGCAGATTGCTCAGCACTGGGCTGCTTCTCCACAGCTCCATCCCATCTGCTTCCAAGCTCCCAGGAAGTCTTCCTGTCTTCCAGGCTATTGACATCATTCCCCTTTTTTGGTGTTGCTATAGACTTTTCCTTATTTTTATATTTATTTGGTTATTACTGTAGGAATTTAAGAGAGAGAAACAAACATTAGGCTCAAGTCACCATCTTGGAATAAGAATACATCTCAGGAAAACAGTCTCTCTGATGAATTATGTATGTATGCAAATTGGGGAAAGAGCACCACTTCTCAATTTTAGTTGTATCTCCTAGGACTCCATGGACGCATAGTTTGACAACCACTGACTTTGATTATTTCATCAGATATAAGGAAGTTCTCAGTTTGCTTCCAGTCCCCCTGCTTCAAGCTCCATGGCCTAAAAGAGGGCATAAGCACTGTGTAGGGCTAGGATGTCACTAAGAAAATAACAGACCTTGTGCTGGTTTTTCCCAATCAAGAATAAATTATTTTGAGTTTATGCTTTCTGTTGCTTAGACCAAAAAAATCCTTGGAGTCGTCTTTAAATTCTCTTGTTCTCCTGCCCTCTCATCTAATCCATCAGCAGCTCTGTTGGCACTTCCTTCAAAACATATCCAGAACCAACACCCGTCTACACCTCCACCACTTCCTCCCTGACCCAAGCCACCATCCTCTACCATGTGCATCGTGGAAACAGCTGCCTAACTGGCCGTCTTGTCCCCAGCCATCTTCAGCCTTCCCCACACAGCAGTCACAATGGTCCTGTAAAGCAGGAGTCAGGCCATGTCTTTTGAATGGCTTCCGGTGGCTTTTCATTCATCCGGTAGTCCTGATAATGGCCTCTGTGCTCTATGGATTCTGGCCCTGGAGCTCCCTCTGACCTCCCCTCCCATCACTCTTCCCCAGGTTCCTTCTGCTTCAGCCTTACAGGGCTCCTGCCTGATCCCCTAGCACACCAGTTAGAGCCGTTGCACCTACTGTGTTCTCCTCCTGGGACACTCTTGCTCAAATATCCAGACGACTCCTCACTTCCTGTGGGTCTCTATTCACGTATCCATTGGTGGTGCTTCCTGGACACCCTTTCACAAGTAGCTGTGCTTCCTGTGCCTTCCTCCTGCCCCAGCCACACTCCTATCCCCCTTTCTTTGCCTTATTTCTCCATAGCACTTACTACATCTTACACACTTGTTGACGTGTTTATCAGCTGTCTCTGCTCTCAAGAATATAAATACGTGGCAGAAAGGACCTTCATCTGTGTTACTGTTGTACCACCAGTGCCTAGAACAGCATCTGGAGTATACAGCAGGTGCCTAGAAAGCATGTGTTGAATGAATGAATGGCGAATCCAAAATTTCTGTGCCCTAACTATAAATATTACAAGAGTCCATCTATCTCTAAGTTCTAGTTGTTTTCAAAACATACAAATGACAAAGCAAGTTTTACAAAAATCTCTGCCCACATAAAACTATGTGTATTTAACGAAGTTCTGTGTATATTTTGGAGACATTTTATTTTTTTAGGGTAGCATGCAAGTACTTTGGTTTAATTCTGCTTAATGGAAACTCAGTTATTTTTGAGAATGAATGGGATTGTGTTTTCAAAGCCTTGTACCTTTTGTTTATTTACTTACAGATGGAGAGCATCCCAGCTTATCAAGAGCATACCTGCTTCAGACCTGCCCCAGGTCAGAGCAAAGGTCGCGGCCATGGAAATGTTGAAAGGACAAAGGGCTGACCTTGGGCTCCAACGGGCCTGGGAAGGCAACTATCTTGCTTCAGTAAGTCCAGGAGAACAAAGTGGAATCTATCCTCCTCCCTTTACAAAGAGGAGAATTTTTCTCCAAGAATTTGTAGAAAGAATAAGGCACCTCCAAAAACTAAATTTCTACAAGAGATACTAAACCAAAAGTTTTGATTGCCTCTTAAGTATACAATAGTTGATGTTTCCCCCATTTTAAGAAGCGTTCTTATCTTATAACCATATGTGTTAGGTACACTCTTTTGAGCATTTAAACCTTCCCTTGCATAATTCAGCAACTACTTTTAATTACCACCTTTATATTAATTATTCCCAAAGCTACATTTCATCTCTCTCCCATTCCTTACTTTAAAATTTGCGTGGGGCCCTTGGTGTTCTAACAGCCCTTCAGCAGCTTACTGTCTGGAATGGGGAGAAAACTAGGAGCATGGTCAGGAGCCGCACACTAACAGGGCGCCGTCTAGTCTAAAACGCTGAGCGTACTCATTTCATCGTGTTTCCTTTTTCTTTCAGAAGCCAGACACGCCTCAGACCTCAGGCACTTTCGTCCCTGTTGCTAATGAGCTGAAACGCAAGGACAAATACATGAACATTCTCTTTTCCTGTCATGTCCGCAAGGTAAGGCAAGGTCGAGGCAGACCTCCATGGGAAGAAAACACAGATGCAGGCAAAACTTGACCGTGACCGCAGTAAAATGTTACAATAGGTGCGTTACTCGCTGTAGCATCAGTTAGCCATGCCTCTGTGGCAAGGCATTGGTGATGGAATGGTTGCAGAGACCACAGTTTTATTAGTTAGGCTGGAAAGCTTTCCTAAGGGAAGCCAATATTGTTGGTAACTGTTTCTTTTTAAAACAAGAGAATGGGGCCCTCCCAGAGGTGAGGGAGTTGTATTTTACTGCTGTGTAACTTGTATAGCACCTGCTGGTCTGCTTTGTATTAAATGGTCAGTTAGTCCTTTTTATTCATAATTGGGAAACATAGTTTGGAAAAGGGTGGACATAAGTGAGGCTTGGAGGGTGGGGAGGATAAGTTATGTGCTATGAATATATTTGTTTATCTGGAGCAGGATATGTATGGACAGTGATTGGAGATGATAGCAGCTGGGCAAATGGAAGTTGGAAAATGGAAGGCAAAGGGACATAGTTGGTTTTTAAAAATCTTAAAATACTTGTTTTCAAAAAATAGGAAATTGAAATAATTATAAAAGAACATTTTGTAAATTTATGCAAATAAATTTTAAAATATTAATGAAATGGGTGAAGTTAAGAAAAATATTGCCTAGATTGACCTCAGAAGAGATATGTCAATATCCAAAGGAGGAATTAAGAAATTTATCTAAGAATTGCTTCATAACAGAGATCCAGCTTTAGGTGATTTTAGAGGTATTTTGTTTCAAATCTTCAAAAAGTACCTAATTGAAAAATTACTCAAATCAAAATAATGAAATATTATTTTTCAACAGTAAATTTGGCAAACTTTAAAATGTTGATAACAACCAGTGTTTGCAAAGATTTAGGGAAAAACTGTTGGTAGGAGTATAAAATACAGTCCTTCAGGGTGGACAGTTTGGCAGCAACTATCAAAATTTAAAATGCCCAGGCCACTTCATCTAGGAATTCCACAACTCTGCAACATATTCACACATATATCCAAAGATAGATATATGTACAGTTTTTACATTGTAACAGCCACAAAACTGAGGGAAAAATAAACATACATCAGTATTTGATTGGATTAATGAATAATCATGTCAGTGCACAATAGACTACAACATAGCTTACATGGCAACATAGCTTACTAAAATGAATGGAAGAATGATAAATTTTTTAAAAAAGGACAAAGAATATGAAACAATGGTTTTCAAGACAGTGCATAAGAAAGACAGTAATCCCTAAGATAAGAAAAACAAACAAAGTGAGCCCTACCATTAGCCAGTTTACTTCTTGGAGAGCTGTTCTAGCCTGTGGCGTGAGCAGGGGGAGCCAAGCAGAGCTCAGTAGAGTCCCTCATTGAAAAGAGAGAGCTGAGAGCTAGGAAGACCCCGAGGCAGCTAGAGTTTGCAGAGCAGACCAGAGAAGACAGCTGCAAAGGGAGAGAACTCCAGAATCCACAGAGGATCCACCTCAGGTAGTTCACCTGAGTATTGCTCAGCACATGCATATGAAGAAACTATCCAAGGTGAGGGAAAGAGCCACCCAAAAAAGGTCAGAGGTAACAATGCCCAGTAGGCGTACGTGGCTGCAAGTAGTGCCAGGTTGGAAAACCTCGTGACTCATGGGACATTAGGTAAAGTACTGATAAGAATCTGCGCCTCTTCACCAGTAAAAGTAAACCAATAGTAAAAGTAGTAGACCAAATAATTACCAAGCAAGTACAAAATTAAAGCAAAATCAACTATTAACAAAATCAGTCAAGGGATACACAAAAAGTGCGGATTATGACATCTAATACATAAAGTGTAGAGGAGGAAGAAGGAAATGGGGGAGGGACTGGGGTAAGTAGGGAGGAAAAAAAAAAAAAGAATCTGGGCCTGACTGGTGGGGAATAATTAGCCCTTAACTAAATGCTGCCCTAATGCCACCCAAGAAATCATGAAAACATGGCCCCAAAGAATCAAAGTGTTTTTAAGTAACAGAACAGTGTCCTAGAACAGCTCAAAAATATTCATAGGACTACAAAATATCCAGCACCCAGAAGATAAAATTCAGAATGCATGACATCCAATCAAATATTACCAGGTTTACAAAACACCAGGATATTAACAACCTATGAGAAGAAGAACCAATCATTCAAACTGATCCAGAACTGACACAGATTATAGAATTAATAAAGTCATTAAAGCAATTATTATAGATAAGTTATGAATAGAGATGAAAAATACAGTGTCTGAAATTTTTTTTGTATGTGGATTTTTTTAATTAAGTTATTGATACACACTGACATGAGCAACACTGTGGTTACAAGATTCCTCCCACTATCAAGTCCCCACCACATACCCCATTATAGTCACTGTCCATCAGCGTAGTAAGATGCTGTAGAGTCACTACTTGTCTTCTCTGTGCTATACTTCCTTCCCTCTGCCCCCCCTACATTATGTGTGCTAATCATAATGCCCCTTAATCCTCTTATCCCTTCCTTCCCACCCACCCTCTCCAGTCCCTTTCCTTTTGGTAACTGTTAGTCCATTCTTGGGTTCTGTGAGTCTGCTGCTGTTTTGTTCCTTCAGTTTTTGCTTTGTTCTTATACTCCACAGATGAGTGAAATCATTTGGTACTTGTCTTTCTCCTCCTGGCTTATTTCACTGAGCATAATACCCTCCAGCTCCATCCATGTTGTTGCAAACGGTAGGATCTGTTTTTTCTTATAGCTGAGTAATATTCCATTGTGTACATGTACCACATCTTCTTTATCCATTCACCTACTGATGGACACTTAGGTTGCTTCCATTTCTTGGCTATTGTAAATAGTGCTATAATAAACATAGGGGTGCATCTGTCTTTTTCAAACTGGGCTCCTGCATTCTTAGGGTAAATTCCTAGGAGTGTAATTCCTGGGTCAAATGGCATTTCTATTTTACGTTTTTTGAGGAACCTCCATACTGCTTTCCACAATGGTTGAACTAATTTACATTCCCACCAGCAGTGTAGGAGGGTTCCCCTTTCTCTGCATCCTTGCCAGCATTTGTTGTTGTTTGTCTTTTTGATGATGGCAATCCTTACTGGTGTGAGGTGATATCTCAATGTGGTTTTAATTTGCATTTCTCTGATGATTAGCGATGTGGAGCATCTTTTCATGTGTCTGTTGGCCATCTGAATTTCTTCTTTGGAGAAGTGTCTGTTCAGATCCTCTCCCCATTTTTGAATTGGGTTATTTGCTTTTTGGTTGTTGAGGTGCATGGGCTTTTTATATATTTTGGATGTCAATCCCTTATCAGATATGTCATATATGAATATATTCTCCCAATCTGTAGGATGCCTTTTTGTTCTGTTGATGGTGTCCTTTGCTGTACAGAAGCTTTTTAGTTTGATATAGTCCCACTTGCTCATTTTTGCTTTTCTTTCCCTTGCCCAGGGAGATATATTCATGAAAAAGTTGCTCATGTTTATATTCAAGAGAATTTTGCTTATGTTTTCTTCTAAGAGTTTTATGGATTCATGACTTACATTCGGATCTTTGATCCATTTCAAGTTCACTTTTGTGTATAGAGTTAAAGAGTAATCCAGTTTCATTCTCGTACAGGTAGCTGTCCAATTTTGCCAACACCAGTTGTTGAAGAGTCTGTCATTTCCCCATTGTATGTCTACAGCTCCTTTATCATATATTAATTGACCATATATGCTTCGGTTAATATCTGGACTCTCAATTCTGTTCCATTGGTCTATGGGGCTGTTCTTGTGCCAGTACCAAATTGTCTTGATTACTTTGGCTTTGTAGTAGAGCTTGAAGTTGAGGAGCATAATCTCCCCTGCTTTATTCTTCCTTCTCAGGATTACCTTGACTGTTCAGGGTCTTTTGTGGTTCCATATGAATTTTAGAATTATTTATTCCAGTTCATTGAAGAATGCTGTCGGTATTTTGATAGGGATTGCATTGAATCTGTGTATTGCTTTAGGCAGGATGGCCACTTTGACAATATCAATTCTTTCTACCCAAGAGCATGGGATGAATTTCCATTTATTAGTGTCCTCTTTAATTTCTCTCAAGAGTGTTTTGTATTTTTCAGGGTATAGGTCATTCACTTCCTTGGTTAGGTTTATTCCTAGATATTTTATTCTTTCTGATGCAATTGTCAGTGTCTGAAATCTTCAAAAAACTCAATTTAGATATTGCAGTTTAGATATTGCAGAAGGAAGTTTAGTAAACTTGACGATATAGCAATAAAACTACCTGGAATGAAACACACAGGGGGAGGCAGGGAGAAGATACCCAAAAGGAGCAAAATATTAAGACACTGTGAGCCGACTTCAGGTGGCCTAATATAAGTGTGCATGGATCCCTACAGGAGAGAAAAGGAGAAATCTTTAATATTTGAAAATATAATGACTGAAATTTTTCCTTACTTGATGAAATCTATAAACTCATAGACCCAAGAAACCCAAGAAGCCTCAAACACAAGAAACGTGAAGAAAACTATACCAAGGCATACATTACATGATCAAACTGCTTAAAACCAGTGATAAAGAGAAGAAAGACAAAGGAAAAAGATGAGGATGCATCAGATTTCTTGTCAAAAACAATCCAAGTAAGAAGACAGTGGAGCAACAACTTTAAAACTTTTCTTACTAAAAAAAAAAATGTTGACCTAGTATTATATACCCATCAAATATCTCTTTCAAAAAATAAAGTTTAAAAAAGACTATTTCAGGCATATCTGAAAATATGCACTACAGGAAAAGAGGCAGGAAGTCCTTCAGGCAGAAAGAAAATGATCTGGACAGAAAGATGAGCATACTCCAAAGAATGAATAGCAAGAGAAACGGTAGCTACATGGGTTAATATGTAATCTTTTTCTTATTATTTAAATCTCTTTTAAAAACAATTGACTGTATGCCAATGTTCTTCACAATAGCAGCAGTGTTCTTCACCATAGTTAAAGATGGAAACAATGTAAATGTC